AATACCTTTGTCTTGGCTCCATGCATTCCTTCCTTTTTCTGGAACTTCCATTCTTTAATCTCTACAACACTGCAAGAGATCACAGATAGTTAAGTGACTTTTTAATGCAGAAGCTTGCTTCCAGAAGTACAGACATCTGTCTTCAGAGGCAAGTAGCAAATTTCATATGCAAAGATGCTTCTAGTGGAAGGTAAACCTTGAGAACAGCAAATGTTACTGAGTATTCCTGACTCAATTTCCTCAACTGGACAGTTTCAGACAACAACCTTCCCAGACTGTCTACATGAGCAGTTCAGTTCAGGTCAGGAGTGTAGTTCTGAGGTGAGTTTCCCAATTGTCCCCACTTAGTGTGCCTCACTGGATTCACAGAGATATTTCAAAGCACATGAATTGATTTTTGGATTAAATTTACTGGAAGACGTGATCTAGGAGGAGTGCATCCAATGTGTTCCAACCACTTAATAGGGGGCACTCTGTCAAGCCTGAAGTAAAAACCCTTCAAATGTTTATCAGGTCTATACAACCATTTCACTCTATAAACCCAACAGTATTTAATTACTTCCTGATGTCACCATTCCCTCAGCGTACTGATTTATTCAGTCTCCCTGCCTTAGGGATGTCCTCAACTCCATTCCAAGCGGTCTCTTCACCTCAGTGCAAAAAAGAGCTTATTTACCTACTAAAGGGCTATAGATCCTAATCTCAAAGGCATCTAGAAATAATATCTAATTTCTGAGCACTGTAGTATTTAAATCACTTCCTGCAGCTAGTAAATATGCTTAGTGTATAACATCCTTATCAGTCAGCTGGGGTTATCAGTCACCCTATTCCTGATACACCTCCAAAACATGAGTTTATGATTCCCTGAGGTGCAAATTACAGTAAAACAGCTCACAGGAGCTCTTCTGCTAACAGGTGGATGATGTAGGTGCTTGGAGCCAGCCCGCGAGACTCGGCACACAGACAGCAAAGCGGCCGAGTCTGGGGCCGCCTTCCTTTCGGCCTCAGAAAGTGAAACACAGACCCTGCCCGTGTTGGTGCGGGTGGGCCGCTCGCTCCCTCCTCGCCCCCGAGCCGGGCCGGCCGCAGGACGGAGCTCCCCTCCCCGGAGCGGGGCCCGCTCTCCCCGCTCAGCGGGGCGGTCCGGCCCGGGCCCGGCCTCCCCCGGCTCAGCGGGCGGCCCGCGCGGCACCGCCCCGGCCGCCCGAGCCCCGCCCCGCCGGAGCCGCCGGAACCCCGCCGAGATGGCTGCGCTGAGGGCGACCCGGGTGAGTGTCCGGCCCGAGCGAGCGCTCGGAGGACACGAGGTCCGGAGAGAAGAGGCGGCCGGGCCGGACCGAGGCGCTGCCGGCGCCGGCGGGCGGGGTCCCGGGCGGCAGGGAAGGGCCGCGGGCCGAGGGAGGGCGAAGGACGGAAGCGGCGGGGCCAGCCCGGGTTCCGCCACCGGGACAGCTGCGGGCACGGGGGCAGCCCCGGAGGGCAGAACCGGCGAGGCTGCGACCCCTCTGCTGTGCTGCTTTTCCTGCCTCGCAGTATTACCCGAGAGTTTATGGCCGTAATCCTCACGGTCCGAGTGGGTGTTGCCATCGGCTGTTCTCAGCGGAGTTGCTGCACAGCCCTGGGGCTTCTCATGGGCCGAAGGCCGCGCCATGCCCAGTCTTTGGAAAAGCCCTGCGTATGTCTGGCACCTCCCACGTACCGGCGGTGACGGCTTCAAAACACCGGGGGTTATAGTTCGGGGTATTTTTTCCTTTAGCATACTTAGCTGTACTACCTATGCTATTTCTTTAAAATATGTGTGATGTATAATAGTTGGTTTTCTGAACAACAAACTTTTTCCTATATTGAACCACCGATAATCTCACAGCTTCAAAGTAGAAAATAAAAAGCATTCAAAACTCGCATATTACCTGACACGTTACACCAGCAACAAACTGCTCTTGGCAACTCTTTTTATTTTTATTCCGAGATATGTGAGGGAGGATCAAGGTTGGTGACCCTTAGCTTGTCATTGTTCTGTCATTTTCTGTAATGTGCATATTGTCAAACAGGTTCCATACTTCTTTGGCATTAAGGTAATAAAGATTGCATCACTTCCATGCATAGTCTTGCCATACCCTTTTCCTGGCAGCACATTATTCCAGTGTTAGTCTCACCACATTGACAATCATGTTTGTGATTCTGACAGTACATGAAAAAGTGCAAGGAAATGCAGTAGGAATTGCATCTAAGCATCCCTAGCAGTAGTTTGTCACTGAATGTAACTGTTCCTCAGAGTCAAGCAATAGGAAGGTTGACTAAGTAGACAGATAATCATACAAATTCTTACATATGGGAAACCCTGATACTTTGTCACTTGATCAGTAATGCAGCATTCCATTTGTATTTCAGTGTTTGATGGGATTGCGGGGTTTTTCCAGAGTAACCTGTAGTCCTTGTCTTCTAGAGTTCCCAGTAAAATTTCTGTGGTATTCTTTTGCATTACTGTCATTAATTAATTTTTTAAAAAATTTTATGAAATAAGTGATTGGTCTGATCACACTTTAAAAAACATTTTCTACATTTTCACGTAAGAAAATCAAGAACAAGCCTTTTCTTAGTGTTTAGGCTAATTTGTTTTTGTAGTATTAATTTGGGTCTTCCTAAAAATTTATCCAATTACATATTTGTCACTAATTTCTAAACATTTCAGAGATTTACAACTCTTGAAGAGAGTAAACCAACCTTTTAAAATTAAATTTGGACATGTTTTTGCACAATATTAAGACATTCTGAAAGCAGCTGTAACAACAATATTTGTGGGTACTAAACTTCAAAAAGCAAAGAAAGTATTTACAATGAAAAAGAATAAATTTGTGATCAGTATTAGGAAGGAAAATAAACTTCAGATAGTCTGCTGTGTTCTCTCCCATCTGGAGTATAGTAACAATAATCACCAAGTGTCCATAGCACCAGCTTATAAAAGAAAGCAGAGATGAATCTGGGACATTATCAAAATATTCTGATATATTGGTTAATAAGTAGGGTGTTTTTTGCTAATGGGTAGATTCAGTAGAGGGCCAGAAAATCAAGTTTGATGTGTGTGTGTATAAATGAAAGAAATATGTATTGCTGTGTCTCTGTGAACATAAATTTTAATCATGCTTAACTATTTTAAAATAATTAAATGCACAATAGTTAAAAATGTATAGGGCAGCTCACCCACCCTCGGTGCTGTTAAAGCCTGAGAGTCCTGGCAGAGCGTCACAGGAGCAAAACACAAGCTAGCCAATAATTCTTTTATCACTGTAGTAAATTAGATTTGATCTGATACTGTTTCTAGAGAGGGAGTCTACATTGAAAGTTGTGCTGCAGGCAGGAGACTTGAGCTGTAAAGATCTTACAACTTATGTTCTTTTCTTCTTTAGCAAGTTCTTCAAACCATTGCAGGACATGGATGGAGGTCACATTCTAGTAAACCTGCTCAAAACTTACATATAGGCAAACCTGGAGCTGGCTTTAGCTTTGGTAAGTAGTACAGTTGTTGAAGAAATATAGCAATTATGGACAAATTGCAGATTTAAAAAGAATAATATCCTATATTGCACTTCACCATGAACTTAAAATGGTGTTTATCCTAAATAGATTTCTATTAATAGAAAAGTTTGAAAACCAAAATTACTTTTGTCCTCAGCTCAGGCAAGGCAGGTATGTGTGTAGTGTTTTTAAGAGTTTCTTCTTTTTTTAATTAATGTCTGTCCTTTTTTTATTGTCAAAGTGTCTTAGCTTTGAATAATTATCTCATATTGTTGTTTGCAGTGTTAAGGTACCTAAATGTAGTCATAGTTGAACTTCGTTATAAAGAAATGTAAAAAAGAAAATTCATCCTCAGCTTGGCATATTATATACATAAAGTAGGTCAGAGCTAGGTGTTTGAAACTGAAGAGTCAGGATCTCTGGATGACCTCTGTCTCTTTCTTTATTTAATTAACACAGCATTTTTCTTGTTTCTTTTGGTAATACATTTTATGTTACACAGTCCTCTTCATTTTCAATATTTTGTGGATAATTTCATCAGATGCAAGCAAGTGCATTGTAGGTGTTGATGAGAGAACAATGGAAGTTTTCTCCTAGGAAGAAGAGGAAACTGAGTTTTTTTGCTTTCTGGACAGCCCCAAAAAGTGGTGGTCTGGGTTGTCCTGGAAGGACGCTCTTATTTTCTCTTTTATCATAGTTCGACAACAGGTAAAATTAAAGACAGTAGAGAATTTGTGAATTTTTTTCTTTTTTAAAATAGAACTTACTGATGAACAGAAGGAGTTTCAAGCTACTGCTCGTAAATTTGCTGTGGAAGAAATTATTCCTGTTGCTGCACAATATGACAAAAGCGGAGAGGTAAATCTACCATAGTGTAAGGGAAAAATTGGACAAAACCAGACTTTTATCTTAACCTTTAAAATCTAAAGTTTTGATTGTGGTGAATCAGAACGTGATTTTTCCGTGTCTATTTCAGTATCCTGTTCCACTTATAAAAAGGGCTTGGGAGCTTGGTCTTATGAATTCACACATACCAGAAAGCTGTGGTAAGTAAACATTCTTTTTAATCTGTAAAATGAAACAACGAGAAGACATTAGATGAGATTTATATGTGTAATTATGGATTCTGTATCAAATAAATAGTTGCATACTTGAATAATCTAAATCTAATCAGTAGGCAGGTTGACACATAAAAGTGTTACTAGATGTGGATGTAATCAGGAGACAAATTAGACAGATTATGGTTTAGTAATTTATGACCAGATTTTTCTACCGTGATTACAGCTGTCTAATGTTCCCCTGGTGCACTGTGTCAGCTGATTAGGCAGAGAATTTAGAAGGTCATGTTTTGTTCTAGTCTCTGACACAGGCTGGAGCAACTTAAGAGTTTATCCCAGAAGGACAGCTTTTCAGTTTAAGTTAGGTGCAGTACAGCAGAGCTTTGGCAGTGTTTAGGTATATGAGTAACACAGACAAGCATGATATGCTAGAGAAGGGTTTTAATTAAAGGAAGTCATGTCTCAAAAGTGATTGGAGTTCTCTGAAGTAGCTAATAAGTGTGTGAACAAGGGATCCCTGGTTGATAAAGAATACTTGAATTTCCAAAATAAGTTTTAAAAATCATCAGGTTTCATATTGGAAAGATTAACAGTGCAGCCTTGCTGGGTCTTGTGCTGTTTGGGATGTCTATAAATAAACAGAAAAAGGGGATCAACACAGAGGCAATAGAGTTAAGTTACTGGTGCAGAGAGCTGCAGGAGAAGACCTTGAAATAGAGGGCCAGTTAAAATGGCAGTGCAATTCCAAAAAGGAAAAGCGATGCACGTGTGAAGGGAAAGAAGCAAGAAAAATGGTATCCTCTGCACTAGTTACTGCCTCTCAAAAAAGACATTTTGGTGTTTATCATAAATAGTTATGTGAACATGAGTATAATGCTCAGAAGTGGTCAAAATTTAAAGTCAAAAGGGACCCTTAAGAGAATGAAGAAAAATGCAGAAGGCACAATTATGCTGCTGCCTAAATCCAAATTGCACTTGCCTTTTTAATTCATTATATAGTCAAATGTAATAATGTAATAAGTATCTGTCATGGGTTAGCATAACAAAAATATCAAAGAGAGGTATTTTTTTGACTGAAGAAGTCACCTGAAGGCTCAGGAAAATATTTTTGAGGAAGTGTAGTTGCTACTGTATTTATATGTACTTCCCATAGTGTTGGCTTCTGTCAGAAACAGATTACTGACACTTTATAAATTTTTTATTCCCAAATGCTGTGGGCTCAGGAGCCCTTTCTCTGCTTCCTAGGAACTCTTAATTCTCAAGTGTACAGTAATAAAAAAATTAAAGTGGTACATTCTTGCCACTTTGTGCAACTTGTCCCACATTAATCAAACAATAACCCTGCAACCATGATGTGTAATTTTCAAATCACCTGTTACTCCTCTGACAAAGCTTTATTTAAAAAGCTGACCTTAGAACGTCTAATCAAACATGGTACACAATCAAATGTATGTGAGGGGGATACATTTTTGTTAATTATGTTGTGTAAATCACTAATATTGATATAATTTAAATCTACTTGAGTAAATGAAATGTTTCACCTGTAGGTGGCCTTGGCCTCGGCACTTTTGAAGCCTGCCTTATTACAGAGGAGTTGGCCTATGGATGTACAGGGGTTCAAACTGCCATTGAAGCAAACTCCCTAGGGGTAAGCTCTCTATTTTCTTACATCCCTTAAACTACAGTCTTTGCACTTGAAAAGCCTGGATTAATGGTCTAAATACTTTCTTTCAGCAAATGCCAGTTATCATTGCAGGAAATGAGCATCAGCAGAAAAAATACTTAGGAAGAATGACAGAGGAACCAATCATGTGTGTGAGTATAACTGCTACACTGTGAAATGTTCCTAAACCTAATAATATTACTTCTTTCTTTTTTTCCCCCCTCATTTTTTTGCCTTTTCCCCTCCCCAGAAAATACTTACATGTACACACAACTTAGCCCTTTTTGATTTGTAAACAGTGACATTTACTGAAAGTCAGGAAATATCTAATGAGATACATGCAATAAGCAAATAGAAGATATTACTTGGAAAATCAACCCCAACCTAAGTCACTTACCAAAAATTAATACTTTTATTTCCATTTCAAGAGGGGGTGTAGGCATTTAAGACACTAAACTTGGATGGGAATGAAACTGGGAATTTATGATCTTAAATATTACATAAGCAGTACTTGTTACATAGAAAGAAGAGTCATGTACAATGTATGTAAATCTGTACAACTAAGCCCCCTAAAATGAAGGACTTGGTAAACATAAAATGTTACTCAGTGCTCTTATTTTCAGATTTTAAAGATCTTCAGCTTTCCAATCAGAATTTTTGAAGCCTGAAGAAGTAATAACTTAAGGGTTACAGAATGTTTCTGTTTGATTAAAAGACAATTTTATGTATCATTATGGATTTATAAAGAAAATTAACCCTTATATGTTTGAATTCTTGCTCAGACAGCTCTTGGGGGGGGTTGTGTTGGGTTGTTTTGGAGTTTTTGGGGGGTTTTTGTTTATGCAATGTTTTGGGTTTTACCATGCAGTTCACTTAAACCTTTTATAGATAATTTGATGCACATAGTCTGCATTAATTTGTGGTTGCCTAAAACCAGAACTTTTATTTCACATTTTAATTTCTTTCAGGCCTACTGTGTAACAGAGCCTGGAGCAGGCTCTGATGTGGCTGGTATAAAAACAAAGGCTGAGAAGAAAGGAGATGAGTATGTTATTAATGGTCAGAAGATGTGGATCACAAATGGGGGGAAAGCAAACTGGTATGTTAATGATTAACTGGTGTCGTAGTTTTTTGTTGTTATATAGTGGCTTTACCCTCTGCCCCAGTTAAATTCTTTAAAGACCTGATATAAATCTGAACGTTCATTGTATTTCAGCAGACTGTGTTTTAATCTCTGACCAGTTTATCAGGATAGCAAATACAAATGCAGTCTTGAGTGTTGCACACAGCCTAAAAAGGAAAATGAGTGATGACATGACAACTCCACACTCAAGAATGGCCTCTTGAATCTTGCTGCTATGAAAATTAAATCTGACTCTATTAGAAACACCTCTTACTCCCAGTGAAGCTAGAAACACTGTTAGATTGTGGTGTTACTTTTTATTTTATGAAAAGAAGACATTTTTCATCTGTCAGAGATTCCAAATGTTGTTGTGTTTGTGGAGCATGCTTTTACAATATAAACCTCTTACATCATGTCTCATATCACACTGATTCACAACACAGAAATTGTCCTTTATTCAAGTGGAAAAAACTTTATACATTTATCCAAAAGCTGAATTTTCATCATTGAAGGCAGATCCATCAATCTACCAGATATCTTTTGACATTGCTGAATACCATAAATATGATTTACAGCTGTTTAATTTCTAAGAGAAATACTTATTTACAATTTACACTTATAAGAATAAAATCAAGATATCTGAAATCAGATACATCCAAGAATGTATTTCCTAAGCATTAATTTTTATGTACATGCTGTGAATAGGTTTCTTTTGTACTATTTGTGAAACTGGTAATACCATAAAGACTTAGAATACATGGAAAGGGTAGAGAATCTTTGCATGTTGATCTGAAGTAATTTTATTAAATGTTATTAAATCCTGAATCTTTGAGACTTCCACTCTCTGGCTCCCTCAGTTTATTTTTAGAATGGGCAAGGAATATAGGTTGTTAACTTACACTCAGAATTTATTATGTGGTATAAACATGCATAAAAACGTTTAAAATATTACCTAATTATATCTGGTTGTTAACTGTGAGGATAAACTGCATCCATCTTCTTTGGTTTACACTAGGTATTTTTTGCTAGCACGTACCGATCCAGATCCAAAAACTCCTGCAGGCAAAGCCTTTACTGGATTCATTGTGGAAGCAGATAGTCCTGGGATCCAAATTGGAAGAAAGGTGAAGACTATTTCTTATTTGACAAGTTAGGAATTATTGTTTAGTTCTAAACCAGTAATGAAACAAACGTACCGCTCAAGAGAAAAGACTGTTACACAACTGAACATTTTCATATGCTCATTTACAACCATCTTTTCATTTTCACAACATGCAGGAACTATTCATAAAGTTATTAGTTCGGATAAGGAATTGTTCAGAATGGTCCAAAGTAAGATGACTTTGAACAGCTGCAAAAGACTCTTTAAGAACTATTATACTGGCAAGTACCAATAAATGAGAAGTATTATGCATTGAAAGGATAGGAAGCAAGTTGGACAATATCAACCATAAATACACAGGCAGTGAGCTTTAATTTTAGCTACTGCTGGTGAAAGAAGAGGGAAGAAAAACATACTCTGTGCTTTGAGTAAACTAAAGAATGAAAACATGTTGTACCTTTGAAAAATCCACTTTAGTAACACCTCTATAAATTTCCACTTCAGGAAATGAATATGGGTCAGCGCTGCTCAGATACAAGAGGTATTGTCTTCGAAGATGTGAGAGTCCCAAAAGAAAATGTGTTGATAGCTGAGGGAGCTGGCTTTAAAATCGCAATGGGAGCTTTTGATAAGACCAGACCACCTGTAAGTATCAGAAATAACTTGGTTATAAAATACATCAAGAATTTCTGATTTTTTATTCTGTGCTGTATTCAATTCAGGTAGCAGCTGGTGCTGTTGGATTAGCAAAGAGAGCCCTTGATGAGGCTACCAGATATGCTTTGGAGAGAAAAACGTTTGGGAAACCAATTGTTGAAGTAAGTGTGGGGGCAGAGAGAGAAAATACAATAAAAGCTTGTATTTTCACACCAGATGTACTGATACTGATTTTTAAAGGTTATTCCTTGATTTTTATATTTCCTTAATTTTTATATCATATCTCTGCCATTTTGGGGTTTCCATGTATGTAGGTCAGTACCTTGTAAGTAAACTTATCTATGTGGTAACTTCCAGAATTTTTTATAATTTATCAATGATGGTAGTAGAAGCAGAAAAAAAAAATTCTGCCCAAGACGTCAAAATTTATGTACTAGCTGGACATACTTCTTCAGTGCTAATAAAGAGGGATTTTCAGGAAAGAAAAAATGAGGTACATGAAGCAAGACACATAGTATTAACACTAACAGAATACACTGCCAATCATGCTGGTTACGAGTTTTAAGGAAATATGAATAAACAGCAAGGTAAATACCAATCTCATAAATAGGAAAGAACAACTTCATAATTCAGTATTTAATCCCTATGACTAAATGGATTTCAGAATCAAAATCTTAAAAATCTAATTCAACACACAATTCTGAGAGCCTGATGCATATTCTGTAGAACTCCTCTCATACAACTTACTGAGTTTGTTGAAAAAATCACTGTATTAGGAGATGATGTCTTTCTTGAATGTCCCAGAATTTTAAGTGGGCGATATTAACGTGGTTTATTCTGTCCTAGCACCAAGCAGTGTCTTTCTTGCTTGCTGAAATGGCCATGAAAGTGGAACTGGCTAGGATGGCCTACCAGAGAGCTGCGTGGGAAGTTGATGCTGGTCGCAGGAATACCTACTATGCTTCCATTGCAAAGGCATTTGCTGGTGACATTGCAAACCAAGTAGCTGCAGATGCAGTACAGATTTTTGGAGGAAATGGATTTAATACTGAATATCCTGTAGAAAAACTAATGAGAGATGCTAAAATCTACCAGGTAAGTAAAAAAGGGAATGTGATAATGCATAGATTTTATATAATATAAACTAAGGGCTACTGACTTCAAATAATGATGTACACATATTAAAAAAAAAAAAAGCTTTTAGAATTAAAACAATAATCCCTAAATTTAAAGAAAAAGTTATTCAGATCAGGAAATTACTTGCATAGAAAAGTCACTGCACTAGACCAAAACTCAACCCACATAAGAGAAATAAATTATGTTTTTTCTTTTCGTTTTTTCTTTTTTTTAACCCCTCTAACATGGAATTCTGGAATTCTTGGACTCTCAATGTTAGTTAGCTATAATAGCGGTCACTCTTAAGATTTTACGTAGTTTTAGAGCTGACTTCAAAATAAAAACTATTATTGCCACTAGCCAAGATTTTTATTTTTCTCTGTTTAAGGAAAGACAAGTGCTATGGTGGAATCTAAAGGTTCTTATAACTAACTGCACTCCTGTGAGAGAGGCAATGAATGATTAATTGAACTTTATGATTGGGCTTTTTTTCCTGTCAGGTTGCATGCTTTTTTAGAGAATGATGGTGACAGTTGAAACTGTATTTGAAAGCTGAGATTGATTTTACAGAATCCCAGTTACTTAGGTTTTTCATTACAGTGATCCAAAAGCATGGCCAAGTAGATTTTTTTTTAATTGATCAGATTAATCAGATTTAGTATTAAAATTTTGGTATTAATATATGAATTAAAAATTCTGTTTTACTTCATCCCCAAAAGAATTCAGGAAAGGCTTTTATCTTGCCATTATTGTTCATGTCTCTTGATTATACCTTGCATTTCACTGTGCTTTACTGTATTATTGCCCCGTTCCAGATGGTATATACTTTTTGCCTTATGTTGCATGCACAAAAAATTGATTTTCCAACTTTCCTTCATATGCTTGATCTTTCTTGGTATTACACAATCCTTTCATTGTGTTTACTGATAACATTTTTACACATCCTTACTCTGCTCTAGTTTTGTCTGGCTACAAAACTAGGCTACTTTGGTAGAAACTCGTAGTTCTGGAAAACTCTCAGATTATGAAGATTATGCGTTTTGACATCTTTACACTTGAGTTCATGGCTGTCTTCATCAGCAAGTAATTTAATGCAATAGGAGCAGTTTAGTAGATTGTAGGAACAGCTGCTGAGGCTCTGACAGCTACACTCCAGGAAGTTTGGGCAGGCTGATTCCACAGCAAGCCTGTTTGGTCCCTCATAATATATGTCCCTGATAGGCATGTAATTGTAAGGGTCCAGTTGTAGGCTTGGATCATTAAGGCTTTTCTAGGGATTGGTGAGTATTTGGCATAGGAGAAAGTAGAGCTTCCATTTCAGTTGGCTCCAGAAGGCACCTGGTATTCACAAAACACAGTATGCACTATGAACTGGCTCAGCATGGGGTAAGCAGCAGCAGTCAGAGAACTCACTTTGGGAATGAACACCTCTTCTGAACCAGAACTAATGTGGACAATGGTTATAGTGTCCTTATTGTCAAGATGCTCTGTAAGGTTGTTCTTGGGAAGATTATTCCTATCAGTGAATGATAAAGTGAATTTGCATGATTTTGAGCAATTTGCCAAACCAAGGTCTGGCAAAACTGGGAGCTGAAACATTAAAACCTCTAAACTCTGTTCCCTCAGCCCTTGCAATATGTTGCAGTATGGCCTCCTTTGACATTACAGCATCATAGGTGCTCTTTTCTGTATCTTTCACTTTGCTGCCAGCAAACAAAAAGAACAGAGGGATGATGCAGGTCTCTAGAAGAAAATGCAAGAATGAACAAAAACACAAACAAAACTGTATGGGAGAGAGTACTACTTAACAACAAGCAATGGAAATAAATGGATCAAAGAGGACTTATGGTACGACCTTGAAAGCCTAGTCAAAGAGAATACAACACTTACGCATAAGTCACCCCTTCTACCCATGGTTTCAAATCCTACTTTGTAAAATCTAAATTACATATTTTCCTCCTCAAATAAGAGGAATGTCATCATCTGTCAGTTTATTTTCATTAGAGCCCTATTGAGTTTAGATAAGAGCACCTGAGAGAACAAGTCTGTCTCTTGATATATATTTCACTTACCCCAGTGTAATTGCTGTGTCACACTGGAATTCTCCCTGCTTTTTATCTTCCTGCACATCCTAATCCACCCGGGATTAGTGCTGTGGAGATTTATGAGTATAGATCTGTTAAAACCTTCTAAAAAATCATCACTTAACATTATTGCAATTCTTCTTTTCAGATATATGAGGGAACTGCTCAAATTCAAAGGATGATCATAGCTCGTGAACATGTTGGCAAATTTAAGGCTTAAAGAAATGTATGAAATGTGCCTGGCGCTGCTGTAGTGTTCTGTGTTCTCATGGAAAAGGATGTGTGTTTCTCGACAGAATTAAAAAGGAATGGAGAAAACCAAATTTTCTTCAACGTTATTTTTATTCTGTCCATTATTAAGCACTGATTCTGTTCTCCCTGTCCAGTCCTTGACTTTATTCCTTACTGACAAAGCTGGTATTTTCTATACATGCTGAAGTCCACAATGATTTGTTGTTCCTATACAAATGGGCAAGAAATGAGAACCTCACAATGCAGTTTTCTCACAATAAAATAAGATGATCAGAATGTTATTTCTGACAGTCACTGCTGCATTCTAATAAAATATTTTTTAAGAGAATTGTGGTTGCTTTGTATTCATTTTGCTTGTTACATCACTTACACTGGACAACTTACCCACAATACAATTTCTGAAGTACGTTAATAGCTGTACTTCAGTTTCTCCTCTGCTCAGCAAGCAGCCGAACAGCCTTTCCAGCTGAGCAGCAGCGGGCCTGCCTTGCGCCTGTGCTGAGGATTTAGACACTATCCAGCAGTAACGGGATCAGCTTGAGAACGCCGGGCCTTTGGCGCTCCAAAGCCCTGAGCGCGCCGCGCGAGCGCTCCCTGAGCTCCCCGCGGCCGGGGCCGTGACCGCGGCCGGGTCTGCGCAGCCGCGGCCGGGCGGAGCCCTCGCCCCGCCCCTTCCGGCGCGGGCGGCGAACATGGTGGGTACGGGGACACTGCGGGCGGCGAACATGGCGGGTACGGGGACACTGCGGGCGGCACCGGCCTGGCCGGCGGGGACCACGGGGCTCCAGGGAGGGACGCGGGTGGCGCCGGAGCCGCCCGGGGGGACGCGGGTCGCACTCGCTCCTCCGGATCCAGAGCGGCGCCGGGCCCGGCCCGGCCCGGCCTGGGGGGGCAGCCCCGGGCCGAGCGCTCGGCGCTGGGCCCGGGAAAGGGCTCCTACGTCCGGTGCTTCAGGTTATTCCTGGCGAGTTCGTGTTTTTTCTCCGCTTCGTTGCTAGATTTCGTTCCCAGCCTGTCCCGGGGAGGGGTTTAGCTGGGCTGAAAAGTGACCTGCCCTGGGCTCAGAATTACCAGAGAGATGTTTGTTTCCAGAGTCACAGTCACCAGTGTTTACTAAATTATACCAAGGTGCTAAAACGTCTTGACCTGACAGTGCAGCTGCTGTGTTGTTGGTGCTTTTTACAGGGGACACCACAGAAGGATGTTACAATAAAACCCGATGCCCCAAGCACGTTACTTTCAGAGAAACACGCGGATTATATAGCTTCGTATGGAACAAAGAAGGATGATTATGTATGTATCTATTTGTTTCAGTACAGTTGTGTGTTTATTAACAGTAATAATAACCTTTATTTATTGGCTCCCCTTTAATGGTGAGATGCATGCTGACAAGCTACTAGTTTTTTGCCCTGCAATCCAAAGTGTAAAATAAAGATATCTTTGTTAATTTCTCGAGGTCTGTGATGAGTTTTGGCATGTATTATCTGAGTTTAAATTTGAAGATTATCAGTTTAGCTCTAGAATTACTCTGAGACCTGAGAAACAAGCTACTGGTTGCTTCTTCATCCACTAGAATGCACAAGTACAGCTGCATTTGCACGTTGCTCTTTTGATGGAACAACTTATTGCATCCCACCACAGCACTGCTTTGTGCTTATTAGACTTCATAAACACTTTACAATTTTATAGTCATACATGATTGGTTGTAGCCCACAACAATAGCATTCCACTTCCAGCAGGTGAAAAATGTCAGTAACTGCTTATGTGAAGAAAAGTTGCAGTTATCTTTACTGTTTACGAAAGAACTCTAACCACTGTTGCTTATGATTGTTTTTTTTCTTGTGTTTAAAAAGTACTGCATGTGGAAATTAATCTTTTTTGTGGTGTGGGTGAAGTAATCAGTGTAAGAGAATTCAATATAAAATTTTACTTTCTAGTGCAAGTTGAGATTGTGAGAGTTTTGGCTTGGAAATAAATTTCATTAAATGTTAGACTTGTTATGTTTTGAGACTAGTTGGGGTGGCAATTTGAGGGGTAGTTTGAATGCCAAGATAATAAGTGATGATCTGAAGTGAACTGGTGCCCAGCTACTTGTATGTGCTCGATTTGACATAGACCTTGATACTTTGAACTAGATAAATACAGGGGAGGAAGGGAGTGTAGTATGTGTAGGTCTGTACGTGTGCATGTGCCTCTGTGTGTGTGCATATACACATGTGCAGGATGCACAGAATGTCTGTGAGTGACTGACACATTGTTGGTAAATGGATGGAAGATGGTTGACTTACTAGAAACTATTTGTAAATGTTAACCAGTCTATTTTCATTGCTCTGTATGGATGGTGATCTGATCAAGAACTAAAATAATGCACTACTTAGGAATACTGTATGTCGGAGTATTTGAGAATGAGTGGTGTCTACTGGGGGCTGACAGCAATGGATCTCATGGGACAGCTGCACCGAATGAACAAAGAGGAAATTCTGACATTCATCAAATCATGTCAACATGAATGTGGGGGAATAAGTGCCAGCATAGGTCATGATCCTCATCTTCTGTATACCCTTAGTGCTGTCCAGGTAAGTGTAGCAAGGTAATTTTAGAAAAAAGTGTTTGTGATTAATGATTTTAGTGATTGCAGATTTATGAACCAGTTGCTGTTGGAAACCGAGGGCAAAAATTACTTCAGTGCCTTATTAAAAAAAAATCTAATGAACACAGCTTTAGGATTTAGCTGTATCACTTCGTAAAATTTGTTATATTCAGGAACGTTTTACTTTTAACAATTATTTAATGATTACAGCATACTTTTACCAATTTTTTAACAGTGTAACAAATGCTGTTAGCCCTGTCTACATATCTAGGATGTCTAAAGGGTCACATGTCTTCTTGTGATTGTAGTTTATAGGAATTGTTCAGATTTACTTTTTAGGGTGCATTACTGGTATTTTCATTTGAGAATTTCTTAGTTTTTAGACAGAGATAGATAAGCTAAATACAGCAATTAACTACTAAAGTGAAAGAAAGTTTATTTTAATTAACTTTACCAAATAGTATTCACAGTCAACTAAATAAAGTCTTTGATAAATCCAGGGGAGGTTTTTTTGTTAAGAAATAAAGTTTTTGCCTCTCTTTGATTGTCGCGGTGTCTTTTTTCCCCCCAGATTCTTGTTACCTTGTCTTTTTTTTCCCTAGATTCTTATCTTATACGATAGTCTCCATGTTGTTGATGTAAATAAAATTGTTGAATATATACAGAGCTTGCAAAAAGAAGATGGATCGTTTGCTGGAGACGAATGGGGTAATATTTAAATCTTTAAAATATAGTGACTAGGTTGTCATGTAAGTCTGTAAACTTAAGTTTCCTTGGATGGTCTTTTTGCATATGTATTGTATATGAACACTTTTATTCTCCAAGTTATGAAAAAGAAGGGTTTGTGAAGGGCAGAGTTGTGTTTCATTCCTTTCATAAATATTCTAAACTTTAGTTCCATTCTTGTATTAGGAATAAATTGTCCCGTTCTTAGAGAAGAAAACTATTGGGCATTTTTAACTTAACAGTACTTTGAGATACTGGATGTGCTCTTCCATAAGAAATATTTTATATTTGCTGTTTAGTGGCAGACAGCAATGATCTTTATCCATGTCAGCTATTAAAGGATCTTTCAGTATATGGGAGTGAGAAGAACTGAGTTGTACTCATGAACTTCTGTTAGTACTGATTTTGTTTCTGTGTATAAATTCTTTATGCACAAACGTGGCATTTTTAAGTTCTAGCATAAGTACTTAGCCACTCTAAAAATACTTATCCCCATGGAAGACTTAAATTTTCTTAAAATCTATTACATATCCCTCATGTTCTTGTTCTGGTAAAATTCAGCAAGGGATCTTAGCAGTATATGTTTGCTACTGTAAGGGTAGATGATATGCTGTGTGTTAAATTGGTTCATAGTTTGCTGCATCCTTTTTGTTGAAATATTGTCAGGAGTGTACTGAATGCACAATGGATTGACATTACTTCTGAAAGGCAGTTACAGTGCAACTGAAGGAGTGTGATCCCTGATGTAGGACACAGCACCACATTTGCTTTATGTGTTTCAGATTGTGGATTTCTTAAGAAGAAAAGTCTTGCATAGGTTAGACCAAAAAAATGAATGTTTGCAGCGCAGTTCAATTTTAAATTGTGACTCCAAGTGTTAATTGCTCGGGCTTTGTGCTCAGAGGGTTATATTGGTATAGACTTGCTGAGCAATCCCTCTGTGATGGGTGCAGCGGCTTTGGTTTTGCTTCCAGGTATAAATATGCAAAAGAACACTTGCAACTTTAATCAATTTTGCTCTAAAACCAGAATGGGCTTCTACTTCTGTTTGGATTTAAGGCACAGCAAGAATTGTGTCTGATTATTATTGCATTATTTCCACTGCTCTGCAATTATCTTGTAGAGCACTACAGATAAACTGTAAAATGCTAGAGTTATTTGTAAATTACCACTAGTTGAATTGATTTGGATTTGTATCTGTCCAGTTCTAAATGAGTTGTTGACTTTATGTGCAGTAAACATACACATCACTTGAATTGCCATGTACATTTTTTAAATTACTGAGGAAATAATTAATGAACTGGAAACTGAAATGGTATGAGGGAAGTTTTTAGCTGATTTTGTTGTTCAGTGTAGAACTTAGTATTTTCAGTGGTGATTTAAATGTGTTTTTGTTTAAAAAATAATCTTATTTCATTTCCTACCTCCCAATTATAGGAGAAATAGATACAAGGTTCTCCTTCTGTGCTGCAGCAACTCTTGCACTTCTGGTAAGTCCTGAACCATCACTTGCACAAGTACAGAGTCTTCTCTTTGGTACTGCTGAAGTCTGTGTAGGTAATGAGTTTGGTAGAATATCAAGTGCATTAGTTATTTTCTGACTTGCAGGGAAAGCTGGATGCTATTGATGTGGGGAAAGCAGTAGAATTCGTTTTGTCCTGTATGAACTTTGATGGAGGATTTGGTTGTAGACCAGGTTCCGAATCACATGCAGGACAGGTGAGTTTTTCTTTATATGGAAATGTTTTAAATTAGCAAGCATCACACACTGCCTATAAATGTTTCTTTACAACATCTATCAGTGATGGCAATTGATGTACCTTTCTTGTTTCCCAAATACCTTATTCGAGTACCTTAGTTAAAAAAATGAACAAATAGGTAACCTGATCTGATGAGTCAAGACACCAGAGGTTATAGTCTGGGTACAAAAAAGACTGTAAGTGAAAAACTTTTAGGACTGTATTTCAGTCTTTATGCAGAGATGTTGAAATAGTCAGCATGAGGATTTTTAGAGAATTTGAGGTGGGTTTCAGTAGAGACAGTGGACAAAATTTGTTACTGTGTCTGACACAAATTAGAATGCGACATAAAGGTCAGTTGTATAATATGTTTGATATTTATCAGCTCATGAACCCAAATGAAAATGAGATGTCAAGCCTTGCTTAATTTTTTGAGGAAAGTCGGTTTTAAGATGAGCTACCTAACTCAGTAATGGGAAAACTTATCAACTAGAGTTGCTAGTGTGACGCACTTTTACAAGTGACAGTGGATTCTGAAAAATGCTGAGTAAAATCTACTTGAGAAGAGAATGCAGTATATAATTGGAACAAATTAAGGAATCTCCCAAGGAAGACAACCTCAATAACTTCTTCCAGTAGAAAATTTGCATAAAACTACCTTTCCTATTTTTATTTCTTTTCATGGAGGGGTTTATTGCACTTGACTTGAACGTGTGAAAAAAAATCAATTTTAATAAAATATTTTAATGCTGTTGCAGTTACCTGTTTATTTTGCATAATTATGATGAGAAATGCCATAGCCAGGATTCACCTCATCATATGAAAATACAAGAAGTATATTGTTGAGAACCTCCTGAAAGGAGGTTGTAGCAAGGTGAGAGTTGGCCTCTTCTCCCAGGCAACATGTGACAGGAGAGGGGGAAATGTCCTCAAGTTGTGCTGTGGGAGATTCAGTTTGGATATTAGAAAAAACTTCTTTGCCACATGGTTAAGCTTTGGAACAGACTCCCCAGGGAGAGTCCCCATCTCTGGTGGTGCTCAAAAATGAGTAGACGTCGCACTCCGTGATAACAGTTTAGTGTCATGGTGGTATTAGGTCAAAGGTTGGACTTTCCAACTCTAATGATTCTGTGATTCTTGCCATTTGTTCTTTGCTGCTTTCTTAGTAGCCACATGAAATGTGACCACAGTACACTGTTGCACTGTAAATGTTATTTCCTAGGAAAAAGATATGAATTTTTAATTAATTATTAAGAGGGGATTAATCAATGCAGATATATTACATGGCACTTTGAAAGTAAGCCTGACGTGACTGAATGTATGTGGAATTGCTGGGGTAGTTAATGATCAGGCTTAGCCTGTTTCTGCTATTTGGCCTGGTCATTTGGTCTTTAGTTTGCTCTCCAGAAGTGTTAGGGTAAGAGGCAAGTACAGGAACAAACCATAGGCTGGATGCAAAATTTTGATAAAGGCCATGTCCAGCCTGCAAAAATCAGTTTGAGTACTGTGGCTTGAGAATCTGTGTTTTTAAAATAAAACTGTATGGCTCTGTCAGATCTTCTAGGATCACTTTCCAAACCTTGCATTAGTGTCTTATATTAGTAAAATCGTACTGCTATGTAGTTACATTATGTTACTGGTACTTTTTTACAAAAGCAACTGTAAGCAACTCTGACAATAACATACTTTTCTAGCGGAAAACTAAAATTGAAATGTTTGCATGCTTATTTTGCATTGTTTACGTGACAGTATTGCTGCTGTCTCTTCATTTAGTTTGCTAAACTATACTTAAGTTTTACATACACACAAAATTTATGTCTGTAATTTTAGATCTATTGTTGCACAGGATTTCTGGCTATAACAGACCAGTTGCATCAAGTGAATGTTGACCTGCTGGGTTGGTGGCTTTGTGAACGTCAGTTACCTTCTGGAGGTCTCAATGGGCGACCAGAGAAGGTATTGGGTGGCTTCTTTTCTTTGTTCAAACTTCAGTAGAGATTGTTTTTCTAAAGCTGAAGTACTTCTGGAAAATGTCATGACTTCTTTGAAAAGCTTACTAAATACTTCATATAAGTCACAGGCCTTTGTTTTGATTCTTCATTTTGTCACTAACACTTGTCATGGAGTCCTTAGCTATGCTGTTTTGAGTCCTCAGGGTAGGGAAGTACACATACTGAAGTATGTCTTACTGACCACTTGAACCATTATCCTGTTAAACTGGGTCATATTCTCCCTGCCTCCCCAAAATGCAACTAGCTGATATTAAGTTCTTTGTATTTGCTCCTGAAAAAGTCTCTGTGGGTTTTTTTAGCCTCTATCACAGGTGTAGTCTGCTTAAAAATCACATTCTTGTGGTCTTGTTTCTTGAAGAAGGGAAGAGGCTGGAAAGAGAGACTTTCCCTTCCTGAAAATGGAAGTCCTCTTGTACTCCAAAAATACTCTTAAGTGTTGTTTCTCTGCAACAGCATTATGACAGCACACCTGGTAATTTGCAGAATTACCAGTAAAATTTGCAAGGTTATGTTTAAAACAAAATAAATGTTAATCTACTTCTCTGCTTGCCAGTTACCTGACGTGTGTTATTCGTGGTGGGTGCTAGCATCTTTGAAGATGATTGGCAGGATACATTGGATTGATGGAGAGAAACTGCGCTGCTTTATTTTGGCTTGCCAGGATGAGGAGACTGGTGGATTTGCTGACAGACCAGGAGATATGGTAAATAATATTTTTCTAAATGAAATATACATAATTGAAAGTTTCAAAGGGAAAAGTAAAGTTTCTTGTTTGTGTGTAACTCAACTCAAGATCCAGGTAGATTTTCCAGATGTTACAATTACTTTGAAGAAAGAATGGGTTAGAATTGCCTTTCAAGGCATACTTGGGGAGCAGATATTCTATATTGCACTTGTATCCCCTTCTAAAGTCAGTTGCCATTTTCTACAATTTCTGGTTTGGTTCTCATAACACATGAAATACAAATCATTTCTCACAAGACCACTCGGAAGATCTATGTAAAAACAATGTTTGGTGGTGGGTTTTTTGGGATGTGTGTGGGTTTTTTGTGTTTATTATTTTGTTTTGTGAAATTATATGCAAGCTAAAGAATGGTGGTTTTATCTGATCTAAATGAGTCATAAGTTTTTATCAAAAATCTCTATAGGCTAACTTTTGTTCTGTGCCAGCCCAGCCACTGAATAAATTCTTTCACTGGCATTTGTCCAGGTGAGGGAGGAAGAAGCTTTTGTGATAGCAGTATGAAGAGGCTGGTGGTATGGATTTTCTGCTTGGTTGAGAGGCAGTTATGGTTTAGCTAATCTGTTCTTTCTGGTTTCAAGTGGAAGTAATTGAGATTGTCCAGGTAAACTGGCACATAAGGTTCCTATCTTTCAAGGGTGCTGAACAGATAAAGTAAAAAGTATTATGAGATCTCATTGCAATTCCTATAGAGCACTTGGCTGCTTATTTATTAACGGTCTGGGAAAGCCTTAGCTGTTTTTATTGCAGCTGCCCATGTCTGCTCCATTCTCCACAAATGCAATAAAAAACAAGGTGCTTTATATTTCTTTGCAAGCTGATACTTTATTCCCAGTTGGGGGAGAAATCTCTTTAGTCTGTCATTTGGAAAGAGTTTTTGTGTTCTTAAAGTGGAAAGGATTTTGTATTTCTAAGGAGCTCACAGAAGGACATTTTCCCTTTTCAGAATTCTCAAAGGAAAGTCCAATACTTAAAATCTAAATGTTTTTCTGGCTTGGAGATTAAACTTGAGCTATTGAAATATTTTTGACTTCCTGGAAGAGCAACTTTGCAGAACCTTTTAGCTGTGTCTAATGCGAGCACCTTTGGGGGAGGTTTTGGCATGCTATATTAGCAGTCATTTCATATTATTTTTACCTGTCCTCCATTGCTGAAGTAGGCACTCCCATAGAAATGTTGATGCCTACAGGTTTTTGATTTATTACTGCAGACACTCACTCCTAACAGACCCTGTTTTGGGGGCTTTTGTGTTTAGGTTGTTTGTTAGTTTGGCAGTTCGGGGGAGGGGGCATCTTGTAGTTTTGGGAGTGCGGGTTTGGGGGGTTTCTGTTTTATTTATAGTTTGGGGAGGTTTTTTAGCAAAGTAGGTTGCTGCTTCCCTCTCAAGATTTTATAGCACAGCTCTGTATTTGGAGGTGATTAAAGAGCATAATGATGTTCCTGAAGAACAAACAGGGAATTTATGGAAGCAGTACTTGTTAGATGATCAAATTTACTTTTAAAATTCTAATTGTCTTTGCTTCTGCCACCCTGTGATATTGCATGCCAGTGGACATATGTGAATGCTTTCTGTCTAACTCAGAGTTGAAAATCATCTTAGCAGCAGATAATTGACAACATCTCTGAGTAAATCATAGTATTGTAAATGCACGCTATGGAAACTGTCTCACCTGTCACACACGTTAGCACAAATGTTTGTTTGGTTGTGTTGTCTTCCCCAGACATGGAGATTTGCAGTTCTCTTGCAAACAAGAGCTTCATTCTGTACAAGTGAAAAAGTGGTTGACTTTGGACATGGACGTAAATTTTCTTTTTTCTCCCAGGTGGATCCATTTCACACCTTATTTGGAATTGCTGGACTATCTTTATTAGGAGAAGAACAAATTAAGGCCGTCAATCCTGTCTTTTGTATGCCAGAAGATGTCCTTCGAAGAATAAATTTACAACCTGAGCTTGTGAGCTAAGCCTTGTAGAGACAAAAGGTTGATATGACCAGTTGCTTTGGTTTTACTAATTTATAATCTCATCTGTGAAACTGTCAGCATATTCTTCCTTGAGATGTGTTTACATTATAGAAGTAAAGCAATAGCTTTGCTGTGGGCTTTGTCACTTTGTAAATTGTATCAGAACAGGCTGGTTCTTATAATCTAACTGTAACATATTCTTTGGTTATATTATAAGAGATGTAGAAACATTTCCAATCTGTATCTAAATGTATGGGCCTTGGCTTTTTTTTTTTTCTAAATATTCAAATCAAAGCTTGATTGTGTGAATGCCTAATTTTTGTGTTACTGTGATGTCAACCATGCTAGTACCAGTCTTTACACAGGCCTCTTTTGATGGTGGATCACACAGAGCACTTTAAAAGAAGATTGAAAAAAAAAAAACTACAACCAACAAAATCCTACTTAAGCCATGCACTTAATGCCACACACTTGTGTATTTAATTCTTCCTGTTCATGCTTACCATCAGTTTTCTATACTGAGAAACAAGCTGCTTCTTCTGATAGTAATTGATACCAGTAAAACCATAATTATGGTTCTTCTAAGTATATAAATATCTTCATTTATTGATGAGTCCCTTAGACAAAATTCCACTGATATTTGAAATACAGCATACCTTGAGTATACAGAGTGAAAGTTGCTGACATTAAGTATTCTAGAGAAGGTCTGTACAGGACAGTGACTTGTAATTGAATATAGAGTTGATTCTAAATTTGTTGCTGGGTTGAAATCCTGCTTTTGTAGCTTTTAAAACAATAATTACCAACACTTGATTATGGTGTAATTGAAAATAAAACTAGCCATGGAAAATACTTGTTTGCTGAAGGATGAAGTCCTCTTTGTCTTCACAGAAGTCCTAAAATTGCCTCTTAATTTACATTCCACAAATCTTGGCTGAGACTGAATGGTAGTCTAGTTGCAATATACAGTAAAAGGTAATTTTGAAGGGGAGGAAGTGTTTGATAATCTCTGTAAATATGCTTAACAAAGGCCTAAAGTTGTTTCCAAGACAGTTTTAAGAGCCAGCTGGTTAGTTTCATCCAGCCTGTGTTAGTAGAGAGAAAGCTGAACTCGACAGAGTCACTTTTTCAAAGACTTTTATTTCTAGTGAATTTCGAAGACAGAAAGTGAATTCAAATGCTCAAGTATTTCTAATGAATTTTTAAAGCCTTCCTACAGGCTTTTAGCTAAGGTAAAATCTCTACTCTTTTTGGTTGCCCAGTTGCTTGACGAGTTCTTTGGTCAAAGCCTGGAATTAATTTATTTTTCAAGATTTGGAAAAATGTTACAATAGGCTTAGTTTTGACTGTAAGGGAATGAGACCACCAATCAGGTTTTATCTTAACTGTAAAGGTTAACATAAAATGTTTAAATAAGTTTTTTTTCATTCCAGGTTACCTTTGCAAGTGCCACTTCTTTTCTTAAGAAGGTTCTTCCATTCTTTACATCAATTCTTTAGGTATTGTATTTCTAAAGAGAGAATCATCACAACTTCTCTTACACAAACAAACTCACATTTTTCGTTAAATGTACTGTGAAAAAAATTAATTGCTGATTATGTCTATGTTAAGACTTATGTCATTTTGGTGTGTTGTTACCATCTACCTCTATTTTGTTAAAAATGCTGCTAAGATTTTTTTTCTGAGCTTATCTAGTTAGAAACTTTGCAGTAATTAATCTACCGTTCTCAGTCTTCAGTTACAGATCCTTTATTAAAGGTTTTTGGAAAGTGTACTTTCATAACTTTTTTTTCCATTGAAGTCTTTATATGGAAAGGTCTTAATCCTAAGTACTGTAGTGTAGCCAACATTCCCAGCAATAAATTTTGAAAGATTTTGTATGAGAATTTGTGAAAGAATAGCGGCTAACTCAGGTACATAAAATTGTGTGTCTAAAGATATGTTAATTAAAAGAGTAGCTCTGTTTACATGTGGGGAAATCAACAGCCATTCTGTTACCTTCTACATGGTCAAGTCCAGAGGTATATGCTTTATTCCAAATGTGCTTCCTTTAGGTTTTGTTGAGACAGCTTGGTTAGGTGAATTTAACTTAATGATTTGTGACTATGTAAAAGGAAGGAAAGGTGAAAGATGGACCTTCCTTTTGTTTCTGCATTTCTTGCCATATATTTGGATTTCTGTCAGAGAGGAGGATGTCTAACTCCATCTGCAGGAGTCAGAATGCCTATGGAAAGTTCAATGTAGGACTTCAGGACAGTGGCAATAACTGGAATTGTCACCTGCTATCTTCCATACTTTGCTCTGCCATGAGAGTTTCTGATGTTGAAATTCTTAAAGTTGTCTGATGGCAATACTCAGTGCTGAGGGACTGCATGCCTGTTCTGAACGGGTAGGAGGGGGGCAATATCTTTCAGATGCCAACTGAGGAGCTGCACCTGATGGAGTTGCTGTCCTGAAGCTGAATAGTCATCAAACTGCTTTTGTCCACAAGGAGTTGTGTCTGGCTTCAGTTTGGAGTGTTTTATAATGCAGGTGTATTAAATGCCAGAGACAGAATAGTGCCAAGTGAAAATGTTAATTGAAACAGTTTTAGTGGTGTATATTACATGCTAATATACAAAGTAGCGTTAGTGTTCTGAAACATGCCTAGAAAGAAGCACGTTTAAGACAATTGCACAGGTAAACAAGCTTTATGGTTATTATGGGGATCTTTTTGTACCAAAACTCTTGAGCAGGAGGAAAACATCTGTGAAGCTCCCGCTGAAACGGTGAAGAATTAATGCAGGACAAATTATGTTTAAATGCAGTACTCCTGCTGGAAAGAGCATAGCAGGCCCTTTCCTCGCGTTCCTCTGCTCCTTGCCTATTTATAATGAAAACCGCTGCGGCCAGCAGCTCTTCTTACTGCTGTGTCATTTATAGCTGCACCTCGATAACTTCCTTTCTTTAACCCGGCCGGGCGCCCATCCCGACCCGGCGGGTCTCGGTGCCGCCGCTCCGAGCAGGGGCGGTGCCGGCGGCTCCCGGTGCCGCCATTCGGAGCGCGGGGCGGGGCCGGCGCTGAGGGGTCGCCCATGGCGGGCGCGGGCGGGCTCGGGGCGGTGTCGGCCCCCTCGGTGTCCTGCCCGAGCCTTGGCTCCTCCACGCCCCGCGCGGTCGGGCGGGCGGAGCGGACGCCCCGCTACACTCTGGGGCTGCTGCAGACGCCGCGCAGCTCGGACAGCACCGGCGGCTCCTCAGGCAGCGGGGCGCGGCCGGGCAACTCCAGCGGGGAAGGCCTCGGTCCCGGGCGCGCCGCCAGGAGCAGCGGGGCGAAGGCGGCAGTTTCCGATCGAGGAGGTGCGGTGTGGTCTGTGCAGGGGTCTCGATCTCATTCTTTATCCTCCTGCCCCCTGTGCGAGGGTCTGGTTCCGCAAGAGCTGTTACAAGCGGTGCTTACTGACAGGGGCCAGCAGCAACCCACCGTCTTAGCGACCTTTTTTTCATTTAACCTGCCAGAACGATGGAGTTCGTTAGCACTCCTGTAAATAAATCTCTGTGACTTTCTTTGGATAGTAGTATCTGGGTTCCCTGGTAGGATCGATAAACTGGTTTGAATTGCTGCACAGTATTTGCTTCACAGGAGAGACTTGAACCACGTTCAGTTGGTGGGGTTTGGGTTTGCGTTTGGTTTGTTGGTTGTTTTGGTGTTTTCGTTGGTGGTTTTTGGTTTTGTGTTGTTTTGGTGTTTTGGTTTGGTTTTTTTTTTTTTCCTGGCCTTTGAAGTAGTTTTAAGTGCTTGTCATCCTTGATGTGCGTTAAGAACGTTGTGGTCCTACAATGCAGCGCAGCTATTTGCCATAGTTTACATAAAGCTGCTTTTAACACCTGCTCCCCGAGGACGAGACACCTCAACAACCGCATAAGGAAGATTGGTGCATCAGTAGGTCGGTCACAGGACTTGGTACTACTATCAAAGTCTGTATCTTGGCAGGCAGAAAAAAAAGTTAAAAGTTGAATTTTTTTTAGTGGAGAAAAACTATGAAAATAATTAGAAATTAATTTAACATTTGCTGAAATGCATTCCGAAGTATATATATCTCCATTATACGTAAATTGGAAAGTAGGAAAAAATGGTTTTGGATAATGTACGCGATTACTGAGGAATCCTAAAAAACCCCAAAATCCTCAAATTAGAATGCTAATTTCAATAGGGCATAACTTAAATGTTGGTTTTAAGGAATATATATGTATGGCTTGGTACATCTGGTCTTAAAATTACAGTTTTCCCCATGTTATGCAAGATTCAGGACCTTCTGAGAATGAAGTCTCTTCTACCAAACTTCTGAGAGAACTTATGTCAAAATCTTAAGTGAATACTATTTTTTAAAATCATCTGTATGCATTACAATGCTGATTTGTCCACTAAAAAAGCCCCCAACCAGTCTGAACTAGTATTTTTATCAACTGTCACAGTCTTAAGATTAAAAAAATTATCAAAAAACCCCACCTTGCCTCTCAAAAAAAACCCCCAAACAAACCCCAGTACTATAAATATTTTTGTGCCAACTGACCATGATAAACACTCATGCGGTTAAAGGGTCATCTGAGAAGAATACTGAAGTATTTTGTCTTGCTTATCAGTTTTTAATGTAATATAAGACACAGAGACATTTGAGTTTATCTGTCTTTTAATACCTGGAATTTTATAAGTGTTAAGTGGAACAGCTGTTTATATTTTAATTCATTTTTTTATGTTAAAAAGCAGTTATCTAAACTTGATTAAGGATATGATGTTTTCAGTCATCTTGAGAATTGAAAACAAGTAAATGATTTAAATTATTTTTAGAAACTTAATGTTCTGAGACAAAGATATTTTGCAGGACTTAAAAACATAGATAGATCTTAAATACATGTGTAAAAGAAACTGCTGTTAAAAAAATATATCCCAGATTATTGTATGATTTGTGAGAGTTGATCCCCATAGATTCAAAGGGAGATCATGCTTAAGTGATTCTTTGCTTTCTTTTATTGCTCTGTTTTTTGAAAGGAATGCTCAGCTTTTAAAAAAAAGATTTTCATAAATGTGTGATTTTGGATAATGATTTTAAAGGTGACAGGCAAATGCGACATAAAGCTGACATAGCATTCTTTCATAAGTCTAGAATTCATTAGAATATGAAATTGTTAACTTTTATTGTATTATTTCAATCCAGCAATGTAAACTATTAGTTTTTTATTGCCTCTGCAAAGTAATGCCCTTGTAGAAAATAATCATATTAATGCAAGCTTATTTTCAAAACAGTCTGATTTTTTAATTTCATTTTGTGCTCCGGAGAGCTTTTATAGAATGACATTTTGCCACAATATTTCTACTAAGAAAAATGAAGTTTTGTGAGCTGTATATTTGTATATTATTTTCTGAATAAAAACTTGTCGTGTCTTTTTTTGTAACTCACTTCTTTCTCCCTTCCTCAGAATCATATTTTGGGGACAAAAGTTCTTGTGTAGAAAATGCTAACACATTGAATCTCACAACTTCTTCTTCTGTGCGAGGCCTGAACAGCACATGTATTGGAAAAACACCCCTCTCTTCCAGTAGATCTGTTTGCAGAAGCCATACCCCTCTTATGGGATATTCTGGTAAGACTAACAGTTCTTACAGGGAATAATCCTACTTACATCCCTTATGTTATTTTGTTAAGTACAGTTTAATTTTTTGGTGTGTTAAGATACTGAAATACATTGAAATACGTTTCAAAACACAACACAGACTCTGTTTTGTACTACAGAGGATGCTGGCAATGAACAGTACACCAACAGGAAAATACTACTTTAGATACTGAGGAGGTGTTTTGGTATTGCATCCTCTT